TGCAGCCTAGGTCCCACGACTGCATGCAGCCTATCTGCCACCCCTGAAATATTAGACTGTCCCGTGACCTGTGGATTTCCCCTGCTTGAAGTAGGATATTAATAAAACACCCGTTGTTTAATTAAGAGATTATTCCAATGAATTGTGATAAAGAAGCTCAACGAAGCGTGGAAGCGGAAAATTGTAAACACAGAAAAGTGACCGTCGTTTCGACTGGAACCTTTTTCTACAACACAAACACACGCACGCACACACGTCCGCACACGCACAACAGCATTGTTGCGCAAGTAAAAATTTAGTTGGCTGTTGGAAATCGAAAAGAGTAGCCTAACGGCACTTCCCGGGTACAATTTGGAGTTAAAAATCTACCCAAAGTATTTCAAGATCCTCGCCGGTGCTACATAGCCTGTGCACTGTGCTGAGCTTCGTCGGGCTCAGACTTGAGTTAGAAGAAGTTCGGAGCAAGTATTGATTACTACCCGTGTGTCATGATGTTGATCCGTTGTTCAAACCTCAAACAAAGAAGGGAGAGGATCGAATCTTTAGTCTTTTACTAATTGTGTGGGTGGAAGGAGCTTGTCAAGTAATCAGTCTGTCTTCTTTAAGGGCCGAAAAATAATGTGCCTAATGCAAATAAATAGAGTGATTTATTTAATATAAAACCATGGAATAAATTATCGAGTGGGACAAGCAAAACTAAAAAAAAAATTGATTTCTCAAAGCATGCATCTTTCCCATTGCAAAATACGCATGTGAGACCTAGACACTAAACAAGCTGAATAGCGCATGAATGCTTTTGAAAACAGATGTTAAAGACAGGTTTTAATAATATATTGGTAAAGAAAAAAAAAATGCATCCATACTTCAAGAACTGAATGTTGAAGATTGTTGGCTATTAAAGACGATAAAAACAGAAAATGTTAATATTTTCGTCACTTGAAATGTCACAAAAGTTTAGAGAGAACAAAAATGGAGAGGTACATGCCTGGGAAGAGAGGAAGAGGAAGGCCAAAGAGAAGATGGGTGCAGGAGGTGGCAGATGATCTACAGGTGGGCGTATCGGACGCGGGACATCTTTCTTGTGATCGAGAAGTATTCCGGAGGGGTGTAATGGGTGCAAGGTTCTGCAAAGGACATGCTACTGACTAACTGACTGACTGACTGACTGACTGACTGACACTGTTATATTTGAAATAATACAATATGTATGTAGAAAAGTCAAAGAAAAGGAAGAAATTGACTTAATGTATTATTAGGGAAACTGGTGATTTATCGCTGTTAACATTTGCAGGAGATTTCGGGACACACTGACCCCTAATAAGCATGCCGCAAGTGGCAACAAACTAGGGGTGTTTCTTCGAAGAGACAGTGCATCTGATTAAGAGCTCAAGGGATAACAGTTTTCATACATATAAGCAAAGTGTGTAAAACTAGTGTGCATGGAAAAGTCGAATTCTGGAACTAGACCACAGTCCAGAAGTGGACGAACAACCAGACGTTTGCAACCGGTTAGCTCTAAAAAGGACCCCCCCCCCCCCCCCCCCCCCCAAAAAAAAAAAAAAAAAAATTAGAAGGGAGGTAGGGGTTGACATCACAAAAATCAGATATGGAAAATTGAGGGAAACCCCTTCTAACCTCTAGCCACCTAGCGCTGTTATTTTGGTGCACCTCCAAACCGTTGGAAAATAACGACTGTCCACTGTGAGTTAGTTAGTGTTTCCTCTTGAGGCGCATAGGGCAGAGGTCATAGCTCTCTATGTCTAGCAGTTCCTTGCCATCTGTTTTAAGTCTTGGATGTTCATTACGACCACCACTGAGCCTTCCCTGATGATGGTTCTACGCAGAGTCACCCTTGGTCTTCCCCCCATTTTCTTTTTCCTTCCGGTGTCCAAATGAGGGCTTGGTGGGGAATTCCTCTCTTATCCATTCTGAGTGCATGGCCGATATAGTTCCAGCTGCGCTTTTTTCTTCTTCAAAAATTGGATACATTGTTTTGCTTAGTCTCTTGTCTTGTTTCGTATTGAATCTAAAATCTCTTCAGTGGAGATTTAGAGCCTATCTGCAATAGTAGGCAGTGCAAGTATATATCGCATACATACTACCAGGGGATCTCTTGTACATCCCATAATTACCCGCATGGCTTCATTCTGTATGCGTTCAAGTTTCATCAGCTGATTCTTTGATGTGGTAAGCATGCCAAGTCCATTATACCAACAGGATCACACGCTGGAACATTGTAAACGCATTCTTTGTTTAATGTCCATTGCCGCCATCTTGAGAGCATTGATTCCTTCTGGGCATTTCAGCGCAATTAATCAATGAAAGTAAAAGCCGAGACAATCACCAATCATCAGTTAATTAATGATGGTAATGACCCAGAAGACCACCAACCATCAATAAATCAATCAAGTCAGTAACCCAAAAACATCCACCAACCATCAATAAATCAATCAAGTCACTAACCCAAAAGATCCACCAAATCTCCATAATTCAATCATGTTAATCATTTAAACAATCAACATTAGTCAGTCTGGCTAATAACCCGACTACCCACCCTCCCTTTCCCTCAACCATCAATAACTGAGTCAGGCTAGTAACCCAAAAATCAATTCACCCACCCACCCATCAATCAATAAATCAATCAAGCAATAACACACAAAAATCGAACGTATAATATAAACTCTCAAACTGCAAATGTGTATTTGTAATCGATTAGCACAAACAGCCAAATGAATATTTCTTTTGGTGGCCGTATTTGACATCGAAAATTTTCTCATCTCAGGAACGAATATGCATACAATTTATTCATCATCATCATCATCATCAAGTGCCCTGCCAACTGGCGAAGGCGTTAATGCATCACCACAGGCCACGGTGGTTGGTAGTCAGGATCAGTTCCACTGATTATATTCCTAAATACCGTTGCCTTAAGCCATCCGCCATCAATTCTCTTAGCCTGCCTAGCCACATCTGACAGTGCCTCATACAGACTAATGTAAGGGAACATTTGTCCCATGTCTGCCTGCCTGTCTGTCTGTTACTTTCAGGCTGCTATATGAAGGTTTAACCATGTCAGTCAACTTAGGAGTTGCATCCTGGGTGGCAAACCAACAGAGAAAATCCCCACCTATCCCAGTCAGCCTCACGAGAAGTTGTTATTAAGGAAACTTTACCCATCTAAGTGCTAACCACACCCGACGTTGCTTGACTTCAGTGATCGGTATTTTTATGGAAATCTCACCCTTCAGGGTGGCGGAACTGTTAGAACGCTGAGCTCTCTAGCGGAGACCCGAGTTCAACCCCTCAGTAAGGCTGGGGAGTTTTTTCTTCGGGGGGAGGGGGGGGGGGAGGGATAAAATCCTCACCTGCACATTCGTGGCCACAGCACTAGCCATGCGACCGTGAAACCTCAGGCTCAAAGAAGCCCCTGCGAACACCTCAAAGATGGTTTAGCAAAGCCATTAATTGGCAGTTAATTGGCTTAACCTCCAATAAAGTTGAGGTTAAAGTGGAGAGAACTTAAGTTATTTCACAAGGCTCGATAACTCTTTAGGAAACAATTTGCCGCCTGTCCAGAGCGAGGAACGACGAACGAGCTCAGTAATTCCGGCGATGATCCCTAGGAAAAACTGCACCAGTGAACAGTCTTAAGCTGATTTAAAAACTCACTCTGCAGCGACGGGGAACATTCTCATAAACGTCCAGTCTTTATCTTCAGCAGCAAGCGAGGAGTATGTCCAGTGAGCCAGTAACAGTCTAATAATATAATCGCATCCCCAGACCGCAGTTATCTATCCACGCTCTTGCCTGATTTGTTTGCTCCCCAAAAGTCCTGACTACTTCTAGCTTGACGTGCAGCGATTCAGCGCCCAGTGGTGCTGCCAATCTGTCTGCCTGTTCGTTTCCCAAAACGCTTACATGACGCGGAGAAAATATATAAAAAAGACGCTAACTTCCTGGGACCTCAGGAGTGACACTTGCCACTCTGCATGGAACAATCATGTCTATTCTTTCCTCAGAAAACTTTGTAAGTCTGCTGCATTTACGACGTGTTGTGTACAGCTGATGTAACTGCCTCCACCTCCATTCTAAGACTAGATGTTTTAGTAGCAGATGCTAGGCTTTGTTTATCTAAGCGTCGACCATGTGCTAGCCAGTAAACTCCCATACCCTTCCGCCTCCCAACACAGAACCATCTGTATAGATAATCACATCACTTGGTTAGGGCTTGTCATGAAAAAGTTCTTGAAAATCTGATTTTGCAGTGCCCGCCCGCAATCTCCGCCCAACATGATTCAGACCTTACATAAGTCCGTCCAGTCTCCGCCCAGTCACCGCCCAACATGATTCAGACCTTACATAAGTCCGTCCAGTCTCCGCCCAGTCACCGCCCAACATGATTCAGACCATACATAAGTCCGGCCAGTCTCCGCCCAGTCTCCGCCCAACATGATTTAGACCATACATAAGTCCGGCCAGTCTCCACCCAACATGATTCACACCATATATAAGTCCGGCCAGTCTATGCCCAACATGATTCAGACCATACATAAGTCCGGCCAGTCTCCGCCCAACATGATTCAGACCATACATAAGTCCGGCCAGTCTCCGCCCAACATGATTCAGACCATACATAAGTCCGGCCAGTCTCCGCCCAACATGATTCAGACCATACATAAGTCCGGCCAGTCTCCGCCCAACATGATTCAGACCATACATAAGTCCGGCCAGTCTCCGCCCAACATGATTCAGACCATACATAAGTTCATCCAGTCTCCGCCCAACATGATTCAGACCATACATAAGTCCGGCCAGTCTCCGCCCAACATGATTCAGACCATACATAAGTCCGGCCAGTCTCCGCCCAACATGATTCAGACCATACATAAGCCCGGCCAGTCTCCGCCCAACATGATTCAGACCATACATAAGTCCGGCCAGTCTCCGCCCAACATGATTCAGACCATACATAAGTCCGGCCAGTCTCCGCCCAACATGATTCAGACCATACATAAAGTCCGGCCAGTCTCCGCCCAACATGATTCAGACCATACATAAGTCCGGCCAGTCTCCGCCCAACATGATTCAGACCATACATAAGTCCGGCCAGTCTCCGCCCAACATGATTCAGACCATACATAAGTCCGGCCAGTCTCCGCCCAACATGATTCAGACCATACATAAGTCCGGCCAAGTTCCGCCCAACATGATTCAGACCATACATAAGTCCGGCCAGTCTCCGCCCAACATGATTCAGACCATACATAAGTCCGGCCAGTCTCCGCCCAACATGATTCAGACCATACATAAGTCCGGCCAGTCTCCGCCCAACATGATTCAGACCATACATAAGTCCGGCCAGTCTCCGCCCAACATGATTCAGACCGTACATAAGTCCGGCCAGTCTCCGCCCAACATGATTCAGACCATACATAAGTCCGGCCAGTCTCCGCCCAACATGATTCAGACCATACATAAGTCCGGCCAGTCTCCGCCCAACATGATTCAGACCATACATAAGTCCGGGCCAGTCTCCGCCCAACATGATTCAGACCATACATAAGTCCGGCCAGTCTCCGCCCAACATGATTCAGACCATACATAAGTCCGGCCAGTCTCCGCCCAACATGATTCAGACCATACATAAGTCCGGCCAGTCTCCGCCCAACATGATTCAGACCATACATAAGTCCGGCCAGTCTCCGCCCAACATGATTCAGACCATACATAAGTCCGGCCAAGTTCCGCCCAACATGATTCAGACCATACATAAGTCCGGCCAGTCTCCGCCCAACATGATTCAGACCATACATAAGTCCGGCCAGTCTCCGCCCAACATGATTCAGACCATACATAAGTCCGGCCAGTCTCCGCCCAACATGATTCAGACCATACATAAGTCCGGCCAGTCTCCGCCCAACATGATCAGACCGTACATAAGTCCGGCCAGTCTCCGCCCAACATGATTCAGACCATACATAAGTCCGGCCAGTCTCCGCCCAACATGATTCAGACCATACATAAGTCCGGCCAGTCTCCGCCCAACATGATTCAGACCATACATAAGTCCGGCCAGTCCTCCGCCCAACATGATTCAGACCATACATAAGTCCGGCCAGTCTCCGCCCAACATGATTCAGACCATACATAAGTCCGGCCAGTCTCCGCCTAACATGATTCAGACCATACATAAGTCCGGCCAGTCTCCGCCCAACATGATTCAGACCATACATAAGTCCGGCCAGTCTCCGCCCAACATGATTCAGACCATACATAAGTCCGGCCAGTCTCCGCCCAACATGATTCAGACCATACATAAGTCCGGCCAGTCTCCGCCCAACATGATTCAGACCATACATAAGTCCGGCCAGTCTCCGCCCAACATGATTCAGACCATACATAAGTCCGGCCAGTCTCCGCCCAACATGATTCAGACCATACATAAGTCCGGCCAGTCTCCGCCTAACATGATTCAGACCATATATAAATTAATCTTTCCTCGTTTGTGTATTTCACTTGTGTTTGAAAAAGGCTGCCCGGCCGAAACGTAGTTTTGTTGTTGTTTTATGCACGTTTTCCTCTTTCCCATTTTGTTGAGCTTTTTAGTCAAATTTCTCTGGAATTCAATAAATTAATCAAGTAGCAGAAAGTGTATTGATCGGCACTCATAAAAAGAAGTAGAAAGATAGAAGAACACACTAGACAACATAATAATCGAAAGCTATAGTTACCGTGCCGGGAATTGAACCTGTCACCTCCAGACGGCGTCTGCGCCTCGCCATGAATACAAGTGCACTAAGAACATGGTCAACCAGGCACCCCCTGAAAAAAAGGTGTATTATTGATAGACCATATATAAGTCCGGCCTGTCTGCGCCCAACATGATTAAGACCATACATAATAATAATCACGAAACATAACATTTGTGTTGTTTAAGTTTAAGCCACCACCAAATTAGTATAATCACAACAAAACACCCCCCCCCCCCCTCCCCGCCACACCCCACCTACACAATGATGGCGATAATCATCGAATCATGTAAACATGGGAGTTTATGTCTGAGACACCATCACATCCGTTAAAAACAAATAATACACCCCCCCCCCCCCCCCCCCCCCCCCCAACCCAACTAATCTGCTCCTCGGTAGAAAAATGCTTTTGAAAATATACCAAATCATCACTGACATGCAACAAAACTGCAAAAACATCATATAAATCATGAAAGAAAAGAAGAAACAAACTAAACGACTAACTAACTAACGAATTAACTAACTAAGAAAGATAAAGAAAGAAAAACAAAAGAAGGAAAGCAAGAAAAAAAAAGGAAGAAGATAAAGAAGATGAAGAAGTTAGAAAGAGGAGGAGAATTAGGACGACAAAAAGATGACGAACAGCAACAACTAGAAGAAAAACCAGAAGATCTGGATAAATAAGAAAAACAAGAATCTGGAAAACAGAACAGTCAGTACAAACACTCCACAAACTAGAAGATATACGGAAACAACTTTAGGAAGAAAATCAAAAGTAGCCAGACACGGCAATTATTCTGATGTGACGAGCACCATTGAGCCATCTCGCAGACACAGGAGTCGCCGCTGTCTCCATTTTCACACTTGAAGTTGTAGACCTATAGACTCCATTCCGTTCAGAAATTTCCAGAATATGCCCCAAATGAGATCTATCCTCAGATGAAGTACAGAGGAAATACAGCGCAGTCAATTTTCTTTATGAATATATCAAGTGGTTTTACATCACATTGGAGCACAAAGCCTGGAAATGAAATCAGATTTAGCGAAGGAAATTTAGAGAGAGAGAGAGAGAGAGAGAGAGAGAGAGAGAGAGAGAGAGAGAGAGAGAGAGAGAGAGAGAGAGAAAGAGAGAGAGAGAGAAAAAGAGAAAGAGAGAGGATGTATTTCAATTTGTCGTTTGGCATGGAGGACCATCTCTATCAGTATTGGTAGCAGATCTGTTTGATTAGCAGATTTGGATGGATAGCAGATCTGGATTGATAGCAGATCTGGATTGATAGCAGATCTGGATTGATAGCAGATCTGGATGATTAGCAGATTTGGATGATTAGCAGATCTGGATGGATAGCGAATCTGGATAGATAACGGATCTGGATAATTAGCAGATCTGGATGATTAGCAGATCTGCATTGACAACAGATCTGGATGATTAGCAGATTTGAATAATTAGCAGATCTGGATGATTAGCAGATCTGGATGATTAGCAGATCTGGATTGACAGCAGATCTGGATGATTAGCAGATCTGACTAATTAGCAACCATCAACCTCTATAGAGGAAGCTGCCCTGGTGTAGCGGCTAAGCGTTTCGCTTGCTGACCCGAAGGTTGTGGGTTTATATCCTTACGGAGCCGGACCTTTTTGCAAAAATTACCTTGGCTTCCAGGTCGACCTAGCCCAAAACGGTCAAATCTTGGGAAGTAAAGGCGGCCGGTCGGATATTGACCACATCACACACGGAGTGCCGATCGGTCTATACAATTTATGTCTGGTCTTATATGCCCCGAAATTCCATAACATTTGACTAAACAGCTTGACCAAATCGGGAAGCAGAAAAACGTGCACAAAACAACACAAATAAGGAAACGTTTCGGCCATGCAGCCTTTGTCACACACGACGCGAACTGCACAAAAATAACAACGAGGAGAGGAGATTATACAGATCTCTAAGGGGTGACATGAGCAACGTTTTAAAAATGTGATGTGGAATAAATGAAACAAAATAAAATAAACAATGGCTGAAAAATATAGTCGCAACAAAAAAAGTTATATTTGTAATATTTAATATAATAGTTGGAATAAAAGAAATTCAAATGTTACTGTGTGTACATTATTTGTGTTGTTTTGTGCAGGTGTATCTGCTTCCCCGTTTGGTTAAGCTTTTTAGTCAAATTTGCCAGGAATTCCTTGTATTAGCTTGACTGCAGTAACCCCCATATTTTCACCATTTATGCCCAATGCTCAATGTCGGCGTCTGTGGCTTGGGCGTTACACACGCGCTTTGTAATGCCGAGGTGCCGGGTTCGATCCCAGCTGCGGGCCTTGCGCCTTGCGTTGGTTTCGACAGTGGTATCGAGAAGCCGACCGTCCAGGAGCAATAGCAAACTACTGGACGTGAACTTGCCTAGAAAAACCACAACAGCCAAAAAATGCTGGGATTGGTTCTGGAACGTCCTGTAAAGGATACCAAATACGCCCGAAGGAGGGGAACAGGGTCAGTTCATATCAAACTATTTAAATGGCACCATAGATTAAATTTTTTTTATAAAAACCAAGCATAGGTCAAATAACAAACACAGCAACAATATAAAAACACAGTAGACCGTAAATGCTTTGTCTAGAGTAAACGAACGTTTAAGAAAGAGATTTGATTGGAAGGTACCACTGTGTTACACGTCATTCGCAAAAATAAAATATTTACCAGGCGAAATAGAGAGAAAGAGAGAGAGAGAGAGAGAGAGAGAGAGAGAGAGAGAGAGAGAGAGAGAGAGAGACGCAGAGAGAGACAGAGAGGGAAACACAAGAGGTCTGAAGTTTTGAACAACGGACGAACATCATGGCACACAGGTGTAACCCATTAGTGCTCTGTCTTTCTTCTAACTCAAGTCTGAGTCCTAGGAAGCTCAGCACAGTGCACAGGCTCTGTAGCACCGGTGAGGATCCTGAAATACTTTGGGTAAATTTTTAACTCTAAATTTTGCACGGGCCACTCTTTAGGCCACTCTTTTCGATTTCCAAATGCCAAAGGATTTTTTACGTGCGCAACAATGCACACGGGCGTCCGATTTCACTACCCAGAGACCAGTGGAATAACTAGAAGTCCAAGTCAGCATGAGAAACTCCCAGACCTTACCGGGAATTTAACCCGGAACCTCTAGCACTCGAGGCGGACACCATGCCTCGAAACCACACAGGGCCTAGGGAGGGAGACTTGGCGACCTAGTACAGCAAACCTTTACTTTAGGGACCGAAACAAATTGACACTGAAACCGTCATATTGATTCTCAACCTAAAGGGCAGAGCAATTAAAAACAATGCCAGGCCTTGCAGATGTTCCAGCAAATCGTGGCCCAAGCCACGAAACTAAACTTTGAGTTGATACATTTCTCATAAGTCTACGTGACGTTTCCAAGGATACCGGAGATAAATTATGCAGTGAGTGAAGCAATGAGAGACAGATTAAACAAAATTGGCCGTTTGAAGTATTTCTATAGAATTTATGAAACAAACAAATAAAATAAAAAGAAGCAAAATAGGGTTGCTAAATACAGTCTGCAACGCTCTGTAAAGGATACGCAGCTACCTTATTATCATCTCACTGATAACATTATCGTAAGTATTATCCTTGTGCAGTGACATCAGATACCATTTATATCTTAGAAGCTACAAGCTTCTTCTTGTTCTTGTTCTTGTTCTTGTTCTTGTTCTTGTTCTTCTTCTTCTTCTTCTTCTTCTTCTTCTTCTTCTTCTTCTTCTTCTTCTTCTTCTTCTTCTTCTTCTTCTTC